GCCTCTGCAGCGCCGGTTCGATCCCGCGCCGGTTCGATCCCCAGCTTCCAGCGAGGGTCTCACACGGTGCGCAGACCTCTCCTGCTGCGCCAGCTGCTCCCCTCAGCAGTGTATTTCATCAGTCTGCCTGTTCTGTTCCCCGCTCTGGCTCTGGTGAATTCTCTCACCCTCCCGTGCATCTGACTGTACCGAGTGCTTGTATAAATCAATCAATCAATCTTTTTTTTTTTTTTAAAAAAAAGAAGAATATGGATATTGCAAAAGGAGGGTTTGGTTCCTTCAGAGTGGCCAGAAGTCTGACCCTATTGCTGATATCCAAAGGATAAAGAGGATTCATAGTTGAAAAGATGGGGGAAGAACATTCCAGATGTTGAGACAAGGAAGGGCTTGTAGGCAGACATTGTCAGTGCTACACATCCACACATCCAGATTCCCTAGGATCACCATTTGTTTCTGAGCATCCCTTCTCTGGCTTCTGTGTATCTAAAACAAACAAACAAAAAAAAACACTTTGTTGAGCTACAGTTCACATGCCATACAATTCACCATTTAAAGTATACAAAGTCAATATTCACAGATATGTGTAGCCTTCACCGTAGTCAATTTTAGAAAATTTTCATAACTTCAGAAAGAAACTCTTTAGTCTTACGGGGTCCATAACATCCTAATCCCCAGCCCCAGGCACAGCCCTAAGCAATCAAATTTATTGCCTGTTCTGGATATTTGGCATAAATGAAAACATATGATATGTAATCTCTAAGGATGAGTTATTTCATCTACTCCAAAATTTATAAGGTTCATCAACATCATAGCATGTGTCAGCACTTACGTCCTTAAATTTTTTTATTGTGGTAAAAAATCTATAACACAGACTTTATCACTCTCTTTTTAAGAGTATAATTCAGTGCATTAATTACATTTGAAATGTACAACCATTGCTACTATCTATTTTCAAAACTTTTTCACCAACCCAAACAGAAACTTTGTACCATTAAGCAGTAATTCCCCATTTTTCCCTCCTCTGAACCTTTGGTAACCTCTAACCTATTTTATGTCTCTATGAAATCTAGATATTCCATGTAATGAAATTATACAATATTGGTCCTTTCAGTCTCACTGATTTCACTTAACATAAAGGTTTTGAGGATTACCCGTACTTTAACATACATCAGGATTCCATTCGTCTTTATGGTTGGATAATATTCTATTTTATGTATACACCACATTTTGTTTATCCATTCATCTGTTGGACACTTGGGTTGTTTCTATCTTCTAGTTATTATAAATAACACTACAATGAACATTGACATACAAGTATATATCTGAGTCCCTGTTTTCAATTCCTTTGGGTATAGACCTAGAAGTAGACTAGCTGGGTCTATTCTATGTATACATTTTTGAGGAAGTGACAAACTTTTCCTCACTAGATGTCTACTTTACATTTCCACCAGCAATATATAAGAATTCCAATTTCCCTACATCTTCACCAATATTTGTTATTTTCTGCTTTTTTGATTACAGCCATCCAGTAGGTGTGAAATGGCATGTCATTATGTTTTTGATTTATATTTCCTTAATGACTAATTCTGCTGAGCATCTTTCTATGTGCTTGTTGGCCATTTGTATATCTTTTTAGAGAAATGTCTTTGCAAGTTCTTTACCCATTTTAAAATTGGGTTGTTAATATTTTTGTTGTTGAGTGAGAATTCTTTATATATTCTATATATCAAATGCTTATCATATAGATGATTTACAACATTTTTCCCCCATTCTGTAGATTGTGTTTTAACTTTCTTGGTAATGCCCTTTGATGCATTAAAGTTTTTAACTTTGATGAAGTCCAATTCACTACTGTTTGCTTTTGTTATCATGTTTTTGGTGTCATACCTAAGAATCTATTGCTAAATCCTAATTCATAAAGATTTACTCCTAGTTTTCTTCTAAGAGTTTTATATTTTTAGCTCTTGCATCTAGGTTGTTGATCAACTTTGAGTTAATTTCTGTATATGTTGTGAAGTAGAGGTCCAACTTCATTCTTTCACATGTGAAATCCAGTTGTTCCAGCACTATTATTGAAGAGCCCATTCTTTTCCCACTGAATGCATTTGGCACCCTTACTGGAAATCAACTGATTGTAGGTGTGAGGGTTTATTTCTGGATTCACAATTCTATTCCATTTGTCTAAGTGTCTATTCTTATGTTAGTACCACATTGTTTTGATGACTGTTGGTTTGTAGTAAATTTTGAAACTGGCATCTCTGAGTCCCCCAAGTTGTTCCGTGTCATCAGGTTCTTTGGCTGTTTGGGTCTCTCGTAACTCTAAGAAATTGAGGACTGGCTTTTCTATTTCTTTAAAAAAGGTTGTTGGAATTTTGATGGGGTTTACAGTGAATTTGCAGATTGCTTTGGGTCGTACTGATATATCAATAATGTTAAGCTATCTTACCCATGAACATGGGATGTCTTTCAATTTATTTAGGTCTTCCTTAACTTCTTTCATCAACATTTTGTAATTTGTAGTGTGTAAGTCTTTTACCTCCTTAGACAAATTTATTTCTAGTTATTTTATTCTTTTAGATGTTACTGTAAAGGAAATTACTCTCTTATTTTCCTCTTCTGATTATTCATTGCTGGTGTATAAAAACACAATTGTTTTTTGTGTGTTGATCTTGTAACCCGCAATTTTGCCAAATTTCTTTATTAGCTCTAGTATATGTGGATTATTTGGGATTTTCTAGATATAGATCATATCATCTGTAGATAGAGATTGTTTTATTCCTTCTTTTTCAATTTGAATACCTTTTGTTTCTTTTACTTGTTGAAGCATTTTGGTTATAACTTCCATTACTATGTTGAGTAGTAGTAGGGAAAGTGGGCATCATTGTCTTTCTCCTGCTCTTAGGGGGCAGTGGGGCCTGAGCAAGTGCAGCGGTTTACCCAGGATCCCCCATCATGTCCCAGAGGTGGATGGGACCCCAGGAATCCTGCTGCCTAACCAAAGCACTCACTGTCCAGGGGGCCCACTGGTTCTGGCTTCAAAAAGCTATTTTTCAGCTGGGAGAGGGTGGGTTTTGGGGGTCACATGGGTTTGTCCTGGGCTGGAAGCCAGTTCACAGTCCCCAGAGGACAGAACACCTCTGTTTCCTGAGGGCAACCGGTTTCCTGCCTCCTGCCAGCTGTCCTGTCTGGGTCCTGTGTGGGTAAGCCAAGGCATGAGGGTGTGGAATGCCCACCACAGAGTGGCTGACAAGGTGGAGGCTCACAAGTGCTCCTGGATTTGGCATGGATCAGAGTGAGGTTCAGACTCTGAGCCTTCCCCTTCTCTATCCCTTACCTTGCTGTGTGATCTTGGGCAAGTCACCTCTCTCTAGTCTTCAGTCTTCTGATCTGAACAATGGGGGCATCTAGAGGATGGCTTTGTATCCTCTGGGATGGTAGTGAAATCAGATGAGGAAATGGACCAAAAAGAGAAATTTATAAATTATAAAATTGAAGTCTGAGCTTCTATTTGTGGTCAGTTCTACCTCTGCTCCCTCCCACTCTTAGTGGATTTCTGAGGCCTTGCTCCTTCACAAGAGGGTCACCCCTCTGCAGAGGTACATGCCCTGTGTGGCACTCAGGGATACAGAGGGAGATCTTATTGTCCTGGCCCAGCAGGCTCAGCACTCCCATTGGTCAGATGGGATAAATTGAGGCAGCCATCTGCTAAGTTACCTGGCTGTTAAGCCTGGTGTCAAAGTAGGGTTCTCTGCTTCCAGAGATGAGAAAGATCCTTATCAATTCAGTGTCTCCAGTAGACAGTGGATAGGGTAAACTGAGGGTCAGAGAGGGGAGACACCTGTCTAGGGTGACACAGGACATTAGCAACAGGGTAGAAGAAGCACATGAGGTCCCTGAGTCCCAGGTCATGTTCCTCTTATCACCCTTTGCACAGCAATCTTTGAGCTAGAAAGAGAGGTCTGTGGTCATGGACTATTTATAATCGCGTCACTGCAGACTTGGGTTTCCTTGTTAGCCCCATCTTCTCACCAGAACAGCCTGCAGGTTTTCTAAGAAAATCCCACAGAGGAAAATGGCACCTCCGCTTCTCAGAGCAGTCCCTGGGGGACTAAGGCCTGCTGACTCAAAATTTTGTCATCACTACTGAGAAACTGCCGGGGCAGGGCATGACATGGCTCCATCATGGGCTGGTCAGGGCAAAATGCAAAAAAATCAGGTCCCTCCAGCCTTTGAGAGACAACTTGGAACCCAGGGAACTAATTAAGTAACCCACATGAGTCTTTAGGAATCAATGGCGGGGCGGTGGGGGGAGTATTTATGGGTGACCTGTGGAGAAACTTCTTCCTTGATTTGTTAGGTCATGAAGGCCAGGGCTAGTGCCAAAGCATAATACTAGACAGTGTTTAATGAACACTTACTATGTTCCTGACACTTTTCTAAGGTCTTTCCTTAGAAAGGGAGGGAGGAGGTCTTTAATTCGTACAGTGAGCCTCTGAGGTCTGATTGTTCTCATTGTGTGGCGAGAAAAGCAAGGCACAGAGAGGTAGACCAACTTGGCCAAAGTCTCACAGCTTGTGAATGGTTGGGTGTCCTTCCAGCTCCAGAGTCATGTGACAGGCCACAGGGCCACAATGGCATGTGTCCCACAGGAGACCTGGATGTGAGTGCTGCACACAGGAATGAGCTCGACCTGGGCAAAGCACCTGACACCCAGCAGGTGCACCACTGGGTGCACTGGGCCCACTGAGAGGGCAGAGTCCAGCCACTGCAGAGCCTGTGGTTGGCCCAGGCTCATCTGAGGGGGAATCCGAAGCATAGGCCTGGTCTCTTGTGCCAGCTGGGCCACTCACCGTGGGCACTGGGAGGGCACGACCCAACCTCTCCGAGTCTCAGTTTCCTCCCCAGGAACATGGTGTGAGGTGAGTATCAAATTCATAAGGTGGTTGTAAGACATTCAGCGAGTCCCAAAAACTTGAAAAGGATCGAGCACCAAGCTAGGCACCAAGCGAATGCAGAAAAAAAATTAGTTATTAGCATTCCTGTTATTCATTAGTTTCATATATACTTTATTATTATATTTCCTTTCTGCATCTCTTGCTATGAGTAGACAGGTTTTTTCAGTTCAGTTCTCTTTAAAGCCAGAACAATGCACGAGATGATTTGGGGTCCCCTCCTTCCCAAGGATTCGCAGATCATTCACCCCCTCCTATGCCCTCCCTCATCCCTAGCAGCAGCTGTAGTCTCTCAGAAGTCAGTTTCCATCCTTGCACCCCAGGTACCCTGGCTCCCTGCCTGTGGTTCCCACTGGCTGGATGCTGTTGCTATGGTAACAGCTTTTTAAAAGTCTTCACCCCTCCCGTGAAGGCGACAGGCATGGATGGAGACGGGCTGATCACACGCATCCTCGGGCCTGTCTGGATGGAAGGTGTGAGAGCGGAATGCAAGAAGCAGAGCTGCTTGGGGTTGGGGGGGTCAGGTCAGACTCAACTGCACCCCCACCTCACTGTGTTGCAGGGGAACTGCTTGAGCAGTTGGTCACAAATTCAGATTTAAATCACCCCCAAGGGTCTGGTTTTAATTATCTGGTGTGGGATCCCCTAGGAAGCTTCCTCTGATCCTCTCTGCTCATGGTATTGTGCAGACAGGCCCAGACCCCATGTGGGGGGATCCTCAGTCTTAGGAGATTCCTGGTGCCATTTTGGGGAGTGAGGTTTGTGTGGTTCTCTCTGCCGAGATGACTCCTGAGAAATGCTTTGTCCGCCGAGGCCTGCCCCAGACCTGCCTCTCTCTCCTTGTGGGAGGAAGCGTGTCCCCCCAACTTTGCAAAGCAAGGGAAATTTCAGGGCTAGGCCACCAGAAAGCCATCCTGGCAGTCACCCTAAGGCAGAGACAAGGCAGACTCGCTGAGCACGGTGTCACTCGGGGAGGGGCTAGCAGGGGTGACTCCGGTGGTGTGAAGGGTTGCTGGCTTCCAGATTCTCCATGAGCAGAGGTGGAAAGGCTACTCCAGCTGTCCCTTCACCACCACCTGCTGGATGGGGATGGGACTCCCTACCTTTACCGGGTTCCCTGGACCAGTAGGACCCCCAAGACACTGATTTCCAGAGGTCACATCTAAAGAGAAGTGGGGCAGGGAGGTGGAAGTCGAGGAGTTCAAGAGACCTAGCAGAAAGGGGGAGACAGAAACCTCGCAGGGGAGAGGGCTCTCTGCAGTGCAAGAACACGACTCTGGGAGGTTTCTTGCATCTGAGGCTGACGGTCCATGTGGTCAGAGGACGAGTGGCGAGAGGGCAGCGACGTTCCCTCCTCACCCCTCTGGACACGTGCACAACCGGCCTCCAGCAGGTGATGCTCTGCTTGAGGCCAGTAGAGCCTGCAAATAAATGCCATGTTGACAACATCCCTTTATTCCCTTCCTAGACTCACTGCCCTGCTCCTCCAGTGGCTGCGGGCATCCCTGCCAAATAAACATGCGCTGGAATCCTTGTCTAGGGTCTGCTTCCCCGGGCCTCAGGACAAGAAATCATCTCCAAGCCTTCCCACCCATGATTCCATAGGGGGGTAACGATGCCCCTTTATGCCCCCAGCAAAGCATGTGTACCCCAACCTCTGGCAGGGCGCCTGGTCTGCCTAAGAGCGAGACCCCTGGGAGGATCTGTACCGACAGTTCTTTCTAGAGCTGATCAGATGCCCCGCCTGGTCTAGTCCTCTCACCACTCCACATGGATGAGCTGGGTCTTCCAGGAGTTTCCCGGAGCTGGAGCAGGTCCAGATTCTCTCAGCCAAACACTCCGAATGCTCAGGGGCCACATCCTGATGGGACTGGCCAGGGTCCCCCAGCTCCCTCTGTAGCTGAACCCCACGGCCACCCTCTGGGGCCTGGTGTGGTTAGTGAGGGCTCCCCGTTAGAGTGAAGCAGGGGGACTGGTCTGGGGAGAGTCTTCTAAAGATGTCTGTGAGTCAGTCCCCTCGGAGGAGAAGCTGCCCCCAGTGGGGTGGGGACTCCGACCCTGCCTGGGGAACCGCTGCCAGGAGAAAACAGTGGCAAGAAAACGCTCAGGGGCAAGATCCAGGGCCTCGTGGGGATCTTTGGCTTCATCAGCCTGTACTGCCTGACCAGATTCCTGGAGTGGAGTGCCTGCCTGGAAATTTCTGTTGTGCCCCCCTCTGGGGGCCGGAGGAGGCCAACAGGATTTTGATGAACGATTCAGGCCCAGTGAGTCCCGGGCAGGCAGGTCTTGCCATCCCCTGGAAGTGACTTCTCTGTTCCAACTTCTCTGGCCCTTGTCGGCTGCCCCTCTTAGTTCCAGGCGTGCCAAGCGAGCAGTGGGCCCCTCCGGGCAGGGACAGTGGGCCAAGGCCTTCTTCAGGAGAGTATGGATCTCCTCGTGTCTCACCCGAGCCTCCTCCCACAGGTCCTGGCCCAGGTCTTCCCGGCTCAGGGAGGCCACCTGCAGCCCCATGGCGGTGAGCTTCTCGGCGGGGAACTCGGACACCAGCCGCTGCAGGTAGCGGTGCAGCCGGCGCTGGTTGCCAGGGCTGGCCCTTTGTGCTTTGCCCAGACTGAGCTGGGCCATCAGGTCCTGACAGTCCATGTGGAACCAGGTCATCTGGGCGACAAGAAGAGAGGGAGGAGGGGCTCCATGAGAACAGAGCGAGAGGGGGCAGGGAGAGCAAAACACGCCGGACTGAATTAACATTAGGGCCTGGTCGAGGTAAGGGTCCCCTCAGTATGGCCGTGACTTTCTCCGCTGATGATGACAATGGTTCCCTTCTCTTCCTGGGGACACACATGGGAAAATGGTCCCCAGGACCTCCAAGATCTTAGTCAAAGCCTTATGGACCCAGAAGCCAGCAAGACTTGCCCCCTTCTGGGGCTCAGTTTCGCCCGCAAAATGGGTGTTTGCACAAGATGATAAAGCAGGGTGCCGAGGGAGGAGTCTGACTGATGTTTATTGAGCACCAACTGTTTGCTAGGCTCTGTGCCTCTCCTGTGTGGTCACACTGAACTGCCCCAGCAGCCCATCTCACAGAGGAAGAAACTGAGACTGAGATATGAATCACTTGTCCCGGGTCACATTGTGAGTCAGGGAGGAGCTGGAGTTCGAACTCAGGTCTGTCCAGCCTTTGCAAGAGTAGCTTTGAGCCCTTCCTCGCCCAGGAAAAGCTGGTCCAGGCCGGGCTGGGCCCCCACAGTCACACAGTGAGACCCAGGTCTGCGCCCCCACCCCCTTTCTCCAGCCAGACCTTGGCCGCGTTTTGGGAGTCTCCCTGTCCTCACTTCACCCACAAAATGTCTGCGGGCTGCAAAGGAGCCAGCACAGTCCCAGCAGCTCGTGAAAAACATAATCTTTCTCTCCATTAATTTAGAAGCCGACAGCGAGCTGTTAGGCTGTGGGGATTGGAGAACCATTTTCTCCGAGGAAACCATCTTTCCACGGATTAAGGGAACTTGTCTTTAGATAAATGGCTTCATATTCGTGGAAGCACACGGAGCTCATGGCTGGGAAAGGGCTCCATAAATCTCCGTTAGCGGCACAATCGTGTTATTATTATTTAGGGCCAAAGCTGCTGCATGCTCGCTTGCCTCCGGGGCTGAGCCCGGCAAGGGGCTGTCCCGTCTGTCTGTCTGTCTGGAATTCGATATTCCGGGCCGTGCTGGACAGAGATGAATAACACCTCAGCAATCATCTCGCCTAGCCCCCTGTTGTGCAGATGAAATCAGGGCAGAGAGAAGGGGCCCGTCCAGATCACACAGCGAGAGACGGCCAGAGTGGGGACTCGGGTGAGGGCTGCCACCTGCAGTGTGACTTCTAGGCCTGGGTCCACTCTGTCACTGCTTCGTCCCTCACTCTGGCTCCATTCCCTCGGCTGGTCGCTCTCCCGGGGCTCCCTCTGGGTGCTAACCCTGAGGACAGATGTGGCCAGGAGCCAGCCAGACCTGGTTGCTGCCTTGAAAAGCTCAACTCACAGGTGACAAAGAGACAAGCGGGTGATGAAGCAACAGGATAAGGGAACTGCAGCATCAGAGTACCATTAGGTGATACAATCAGGGGGATAAGAGAGGATGGGGGGCAGGTTTCTGGGGGTGGGGGGGTCAGGAGGAGTCTCTGTGAGGAAGTGAGCTGAGTGCTGAAGAAAGAAAGTCAGGGGTTGAGAGGAAGAGTATTTTGGTTGAGGGAACAGCAACTGCAAAGTCCTCAGAGCTAGAGCAAGTTTGATTTACCAAGGAAGTCTAATGGGCCTAAAATCGGCTAATATTAATGAGGGAGAGAAGCTTCCAGATACCCTTAACCTATGATGTATTATTCCCCTTCCTCCTTGTAACTTTAGCAATAATAATGGTGTTAATATTTCCAAGTTTAAGCAAAGCCCAGGGGGTTAGTATATCAAATTTTATTCTTTCACTACTTGGCAAGGCTGGCTCTGGAGCCAGATGATCCAGGTTTAATCTTAGCTCTGCCACTCCCTAGGTGTGTGATCCTGGCTCAGTTATTTGACCTCTCTGTTTCCTTGTGTGTAAAATGGACACACACTGCCTCATGGGGTTGGTGACAATAAAATGATACATGAAATGAAATGACTGGAACAGGGCCTGGCACATAATACGAACTATGTGAGTATTGATTATTACTATTATCATCATCAATATTATTGATGAGGAGCTGAGGTCCAGGGCGGGGAAGTCTCTTGTGGAGGCCCCACAGTCTGTGCAGACACAGGCCAGCCTGCATCTCGGTCGCAGACCCTGCCCCTCCTTGCTCTCTGACTTCAGCACAGCTGGGAGGAGGGATCCCTTTGCTGATGTCTGGGAGGGACAGAGAGTGGCCTGTCCTCCTCATGCCCCAGGCCTGGGCTGACGCAGCCCCTCTGGCTGCCCTCTCAAGCACCCTGTGCTCTCTGTCCCCTGTGCACTGGGTCAGCCGGACAGCTGGGCCGGGGTCAAGCTCTTCCCACCCTCATCCTCACTGGTGAGTGTGAGGGCAACTAAGGGCACTTGGGTGGGTCACAGATCTCCCAGACTGCTCCCTCATCCCCCTAGGCCTCAATTTCCCATTGGAAATGTAAGAGGTTTGGCTACATGGATTTAGAAGTGATGGGGGCTCTTAAATAAAAACCTGCTTAATGACTAATCCTCTGGGAGACCTTGAGCAAGTGACTTTCCTCTTTGGGTCTCAGTCTTCACATCTATAGAGCAGGGCTGATCAACGCTGCCCCTTTGGGCTGCCAGGAGATGATAGATGCAAAGTGATGAAGTTCCTCTCACCTCCCACCAAGATTCCCTGTGCTGCAACACGTGAACGCTCTACCTCTTCCTCCTATCTCCTGGCCAAATTCTGGGTTCCTGGTGAGGACTCTGTTCTGAGGGTGCTTAGAGTAGTCTCTGGGGCCCATCCTCAGCTGTCCCCTTCTCCCCCGAGACCCCCACCTGTCAGGGCAAGGTGAAGCATGGGCAAGAGCACTAGAATGGTGTCCATGGGCTTGCTGTGTGACCTTAACTAAGTGACAGCCTCTCTCTGATCTGGTCCTCCCAGCTCTGCAGCAGACGCCAGGACCAGCCAGATCAAGGTTCTTAGCTTGGTCTTGAACCTATGAAGTTGCCTGCAGAAATTTACATGTGAAGATAAAAGCATATGGATTTGATCAGATTCCCAGAAATCCTGGCTCCTTCCCTTAACCACAAAGTCTAAGAAGCAGGGCTTTTGAAGGGGCCTTTGAGAGCTGACATCCGGGTCACCTCCTAGGTCACCGGGAGGCTGCCTGGTATAGGGATACTTTGGGATCAGGGATGAGCCTGACCTGGTTTAGAAGGATGGCTTCATTGCTCAAACCTTGTTTTCCCTTCTGGAAAATGTGGGTAATGTTTCCCTCCCCCGTCATGGGACGATGGCAGTGAATCATGCAAAGAGTCTAATGCTGTATCTGGGCCACTTCCGGCCCCCACTCACTCCCCTGCTCAGGGCTGGGGACAGTCCATGCAGGTGGGACACAGGCTTACCTACCTTTTTGCAGAAGTGATGGAGGTGCAGCAGTGTTTCCAGGTCCGTGCGCTGCCGCTCAGCCGCCATGTAGAAGTGGGTCAGCTTAGCCTGAAAGGCTCTCTGCGTGGCAGTGAAGGTTGCCAGCTCCGGGAACCCTGTCCCCTCTGCCTCACCAGTCCCTCCAGCTGCAGCTCCCAGCTGGGCCGCCTGCTTGGACAGCTCCAGGCCACAGCGGTACTGGGCCTGAGTGGGGAGAAGGGGGTGTCCATTCAGCTTCCCCGCCCCTTAGCTGAGCCTCTCCCAGATATTAGGAATCTCCCACTGTGGGGATATAAATGTTCCCGAGCCTGTTTCCTCATTTCTACAATGAGGACCCAGGCCTGTGCAGCCAGTTCAGTTTGCTGGCCAGGACTCTGTTTAGTGTTACCTCCCCCTGGATAGTTTCCTTGGCAAGTTCTCCCTTTCTGTCTGTTCCTGCGCTAGCCTGGGAAGTGAAACAGGCTGAATCACCCTGTGCTCCAGGCCTAATACATCAAGCTTGGGGATTTCCTGACCCAAGGGTGACTTAATAAGTCTAGGGTGAAACCCTGGAATCTGCATTTTAAGAAACCCTTTAGGCATTTTGAGATAGGTTGTCTGCACCTGGTGGTCTGGGAAGACTTCCTGGAGGAGATAACATGTAAGCAGAATGCTTTGTGATCCAAGCTGGTCTCCTCACTGTCTCTAGAAGCTTTCCAGCATTTCCCCTTCCCCTCCTTCCTTTGCTCTAGCCATTCACCGCCCCCTTGCCCCCCATGCCCTCTCCATCTGCTCCAGTACTGTTCCTCAATTTTAGGAACGCACTGCAGCCTGAAGGAAGAAGTCCTCAAACTCCGCATGAGCTTTCTCCACAGCCTCCAAGCTTCTGTCCTTGGGCGTCAGCACCTGCAGGCACCGGCTTCCTTCCTGCTCCATCCAGTTGCTGACCTGGGGCAGGGAAGGGATGTTTAGACATGGGGGCCACTGAGGAGATGTCCCTTGGCCAGCTCCCTGACTTCCTTAGTGGCTAAGGTTCTCTCAGTCCTGCAGTGGTTGGACTTGTGCCCACTGGTCTGGCCGATTCTAGGGGAGAAGTACATTGTCATGTTCTTCAAATGTCCAAAGGGAGAGGACTCCCTGATTGGGGCCCCAGAGGACATCTGGCCTGGCCATCACCCTGCACATGGTAGGCCCTCAGGGCACCTTATCTGAATAAAATCACGGGGTAGCAAATTTCAGCTTACTCTAACCACTCAGTGCCACTGAATCACAAAAGGGGCAGCCTCAGGAGATGAGCTCCCCGTCCCTGGGAGGATGCAAGCTGTGTTGGAGAAAGAGCTGCTGCTGTAGAGGGCGTGAGTGGTCCTGCTATGGACTCGGTGTGGGACCAGAGCACGCCCCCTCTCAGGCATCAGTTTATTCAGTGGCCACATGGGGTAGAATGAGGATTCAATGGCTCTGGGGTGTCTTGCAGAGCATGTTATTCTCTTTATCCTCTAAAAGCCCAATGTAGCAGGCACTGATATTATCCCCATTAAACAGATGAGGAAACTGAGGCACTGAATGGTGAAATAACTGGTGTAAAACATCACTAGTAAGTGCTGGAGCTGGAACTGGGACTCCAGAACACACTGCACCCCGCAGCCCCAAGGATGCAGGCAGCCCCAGCCCGGGAGAGATGCACTGGCTATAGGCCTGGCAGTGGAGAGAGTGGTGGCAGGAGGGACTTCAAGAGCAGACCCCCCAAGTGACCACAGGCAGGTGACATAATCTCTCCCAGACTCAGTTTCCTCATCTGTGAATGGGAGAAATCCAGCACCTTCCCCAAATCACTAGTAAGTGACGAGGTCAGAAAGTGAAAGGCTCTGGTCCAGGGTTTGGCACACAGTTGGTGCTCAATAAGTGCAGCTTTATGAGTAATGCTTTATGGGTTATGCTAGTAAACTGGGCTGAGATTTGAACCCAGATCCATCCGGCTTGGTTCATTTTCCCCCAGCGTTACTTTATGGGTTATGTGGGAACATATTAAACACTTAGCGAGTGCTGCATCATGTACCAAATCTCAAGAGTGCCTGCGTCGTCCTTAAGGACTGCCAGCCCGGAGTCGTTACAGCAGCAAGCGCCTGGCTGGGGCAGGGCCTGCAGCCCCACATGCCTAGGTCAACCTCCCCACTCACCTGGTGGATGGCAGCCTCTAGGCGGCCCAGGCGGATGCGGAGCTCCAGTCTCCCCAGGAGGTGGTTGGATGTGGTGACCAGGATATGCAGCTGCTCATCCACGAGGCTGTACAGAGCAGTGGCTTCAGCCAGATGGCTCCTGGGAAGTAGAGGGGGTGACAGAAGGTTCAAGATGAACCCCCCCTTGCTACCCCCCACCCCCCGAGTTCAGGCCTGAACCAACCCCACCCCACACCAACTCCCACCCACAACATAGGGTCAGCCTGGGCGTTCCAGCTGCCAACTAGCTGTGTGACCATGGATAGATCCCTCTATCTCCCTGGGTCTCAACCTTGGCCTTCCATGGGATCGGGAGGACCAGAGGACCTAGGAGGTTATGACCCAGCCTGCATGGATCTGGGTTCAAGTCCCAGCCCAGCATTACTAGAAGGCAGTCTAGTAATGAGAACTTGTACAGATTTCTCAACCTTTCTGTGTCTCTGTTTTTTCATTTGTCAAGAGTGGGAATAACAGAACCTAATTCACAGAGTGACATGGATAAAATGATGGACCGCCTTGGCTCTCACCCCGGGCTGCATGTTAGAGCCTGTGTGGGAGTTTAAACATCCGGATGTGCGAACACCACCTCAGCCAAATAGACTCAGAGCGCAGCCTGGACACCGGGCTCCACACAGCTCCTCGGGAGGTCCCCGGCAGGAGAGCTGGGAACCAGCATCATCATTCAAAGTAGTGTCTGGCCCAGCGCCTGTAGCTGCCTATTATTTCTCTGCAGTGATGATGAGTGGTTGAGACGCCTCTCACCCCGCCCTCCATTTTGTAGGTGGGAAAACTGAGGTCCAGACAGAGAAGGGGCTCTCCTTGCCTGCAGTCTGAATTGGAACCCCTCATGGTGTGTTGCACATGTAATTTTAAAAATATAATCAAAGGCAGCAAGACACAAATGAAGGGGCACGTGTGGGATTCCTGATGGGGTGACACTTGAGTGAAGGGAGAAATCCGGGGGCTTTTCCAACACCCCTTAAATCCCACTCCACCCTCCTCTGCCTTAGGGAATCTTCAGAAGGAAAAGGAAAAACAGGCAAGGGAAAGAAGTCTGCATTCCTGGAGGGAGCCTCACTTGGGGCCTCCCCAGCTGCCTGCAGCTTCCCACAGGTCACTGCCCTTTCAGGGAAGGGGCAAGGACCCAGTAAGTGTGAATCGGATGGAAAAAGCCAGACTGCCTGGTGCAGGGAGGGTGGGAGGGGCAGAGGAAGGCGTGGGAGGGGGAGAGCTGCAGGGGCCTGTCTGCAGAATAAACGCAGACAGCTGCTCACATGGGACCACAGCGCCCCCTGGCGGGGCTGCCTGCAGAAAATGGTCTGCAGGGAACCAGGGTGGACAAGGAGCAGGGGCTGGGCAGTGAGGCAGCGGCATGTGAAACTCAGCCCTGTGAAACTCAGGGAGACCACTCCAGACCCAGCACCAGGGCCCACTCCTGCCCAGCACTCACATCATTGTGAGTTTGACAGCAAGCACAGCTAAGGGCGGTGTGTTCAAGATTCTGGGTCGGGCTCCCTGGGTTCAAGTCCTGGCCACACCACATCCCAGCTGTGTGACCCTGGACATGTCACTTAACCACTCTCAGCCTCAGTCTCATTGTAAAATGAGAACACCACCAGGACCCACCTCATAGGTGGGAATAAAGCAAGTTACTGTTCATAAAGCCCTTAGAACAATGTTGTGCACATGCTAAGTGTTATTTAGGTGTCAGTTAAATAAACAAACTTCTAAAAAGTTTAGACAGTTTGTAACTAATGTGTTTGTTCTAACAGAAATAACATAATTCCTAACTGATTTGATTACTGATTCCCTTCCATCATCCCTAAATTTAAGAAAACTGAAATATAACTAACATATGATCTAGCAATTCCACTTCGGGATGAAAATACTAACTGAAAAAGATACCTGTATCCTCACCTTCTTTGCGGCATTCTTTAAAATGGCCAAGATAAGGAAACAACTTTAGCGTCCATCTTTGGATGAATGGATAACAAAAACGTGGCATGTGCATACCCAAGGGAATATTATTCAGCCATAAAAAGAACAAAATCTTGCCAAATGTGACAACTCGGATGGACTGTTAGGGGATTATGCTAAGAGAAATAAGTCAGAAGAAGAAAGACAAATACTGTACAATCTCTCATAAGTGTGGACTCAAATAAAAAAAAAAATGCACGCCCTGTTTGACAGAGAACACACGGGCGGCTATATGAGGCAGGGGTGGGCGTGAGCGCGTGGGTGGAGGGGGTCCAAAGGTACAAACTTCCAGCTATAAAATAAATGTCACGGAGCTGCAATGGACAGCGTGGTGACTACAGCTAACAGTACTGTGCTGCATACTTGGAAGTTTGGTGACTGTATGGATGATTCTAACCAGACTTATTGTGCTGGTTATTCTGAAATACTTACAAATATCAAATTACTATTTGTGCAGCAGAGATGAATATAATGTACTTTGTCAATTATATCTCAATTAATAAAGAGAGACAGACAGTAAGTATTTTCCAGGGATGTATATTATTTGTTCTGTGGCTCCGAGACCCCTGATACACCATGAGGTTCTGGCCAAGCTGAGCGGCCTGTGGGGGAAGGCAGGCTGGAGCCGGGGTTAGTGTTTAGATGGTTTGTGATTCCATTTCCCTGAGACTCAGTTACCCAGCAGCGAAGTGGGGATGATGTGGACACCAGGCTACTTCTACGAATAAATGACATGGCCCCCCATTCGGGTCAGAAGAGCTTGGTTCATGGGGGTGATCAGAGACAGGCAGGGACTATCTTCTGATGTCCATCCCAGGCTGAAGATATTGGGGGTTGAAGGAGCGGCAATCGAGAAGAAATGGGGCATGAAGGCCCAGGGTAGAGGCATGTGACCAGACCTCACTGCAGGAGATGGGCCTTGCAAACACCCGCTCCTGAGCAGTGACAGGGCCCAGCCTGTGTCCTCTGTGCAGGGTGGCCCCAGCTCAGGATCCCAGGCCAAGGAACGGGGGTGGGGGTCAGGAGGAAAAGTCTGGGTGTCCATACCTGATGTCAGGGTTGAAGTCCATCTTGCTGGCCTCCTGCTGCAGCCTGGCCAGGGTGGCTCCACCTTCCCTCTGGAGGCCCAACAGGCCTGGGTCCCTCAGCACAGCTTCCATCAGCTCCTTGGACTTGCTTAGACACCTGGAGGCCTCCTGCCAATGTAGGGAGGTGGCCTGACGCCCAGTCCCCACTTTCCCCCTATAACCTCCCAGGGATCCTTATGCCCAGGTCACACAATCTGCCCCTACACCTCCTCCCACCTCTGTTTGACATTCCAGGTCCCACACAGTCTATCCCTTCTATCTCCAAAATACCTCCTCAAGCCATTCCTCCTTCTCATGACCATGTCAGCCCCACTGGTCCAGTCATCTCTTGCTGAGACACCTAACTCAGCCTCCTCACTGCTCTCCCTGTAACACCCTGGCTCCCCCTGCAGTCTGTGTACTATATGACAGTTCAAAGTGCCAATGGGATTAAAACTCTCCAGAGACTTCACTGCCCCTTGGAATCAAATTTCAAATCAGTTCCTCTTTGAAACAGCCCCTGGTGGATCCAGAAAATCCTCTAGTTCTTCTCTTCTCTCCACCCTCCCACATCGGTCTCCTTGCTTTTCCTGAACACACCAAGCATAATCCCACCTCAGGACATTTGCAAGTGCTTGCCTTCCCCCTGGAGCACAATCTTCCTCCTATTCTCATGTCAGGCTGGACACAAGTGGGTTAGATCCAGGCTGGGTCTCCAGGACATGACACACAGTGAGTGCACAATAAATTAATTGTATATTAAATATATTTATAAGTACATTATAAATATGTATATGTTAAATATAAATATTAGTCAAATGAATGCATGAAAAACAGGGATGCTAATGCCTGTCCTGGCAGTCCCCTTCATATGCTCAGGTCTGTGGAATCTGGGGTGCAGTGTGGCTTCCCTGCCCCATGCTCCTGACTCACCTGCACTCCACCAGGAGGGTCCCCCTTCTCAAACTCCTTGATGGATGCCCGGAGCAGCGAGGAGGACTGGCGGAGGTCAGTAAGGAAAGGGTCCAATTTCTGCAGGACAGAAAGCCAAAGATGTCAGCCGGGCCTATAGGGAGGGTGTCCTCCCCAGCCCAGGAGGATACAGGAGGGGCAATATGTTGTGGTTCTCAAACTTAAGCTGCATCAGAATCACCTGGAAATCTGGTTAAAATCTAGATAGTGAACCCCACTCCTAGTTTCTGGTTTAGTTCCTCTGGGGCGGAGCCTGAAAGTGCATTTCTAACAAGCAACCAGGTGATGTTGACGCTGCTGGTCCAGGGACCAGACATTGAGAACCACTGGTACTGGGAAAGAGAGAGGGAGAAGGAAGAAGATAGGCCTGTGTGACTTCCAGGCCAATGGGGAAACTTTGGGGGAGGAGGAGGAAAGGTAGTAAAGGGTGAGTTGGGGCAACTTCCTCTGCTGGATCCCATTTGAGCCCAGCCCACAACTTAGTAGTTGTGTGGTCTTTGGCAAGTTACTTAACTTTTCTGTGCTGTTTCCCTCTGTAAAATAAGATCACAGAAGTTCCTGCTATGTAGAAATGGGTGAGGATTAAATGGGTTCATTTGTGCAAGGCACTGAGAATAGCTCCCAGCCTAGCATATTAGAAATCAGTTTTATATTCCGGGTTTGTAAGTGAGATTTCATTGAAAGGAAGGTGGTAAAACAAAGATATAGTTCAAAAGTCTCTAGATTAATCCCCTGGGGGGGGGGGGATGTGCACCTGAGGGTTAAGTAGAAAAGAGATTTTTCAGTTCCCCCTTTTGTACCATTTGAATTTTGAAGGTACTGCCTATTCAAACTCAGGCACAATTTTTGAAAGCTAATAACCCAAAAATTAATAAACAAAGCACCAAATGGTTAGTATAGGCCAGTGGTTCTCGGTGGGTCATTTGGCAACGTCTAGAGATGTTTCTGGTTATGATATGTGGTAGAGGTGTTGATGGGCAGAGGCCAGGGATGGTGCTAGCCATGCTACAGTGCACAAGACAGTTCCCAATGAGAAAGAATGATCTGGCCCCAAATGTGAATGCTGGGGTTGAGCAGCCCTGGTCTAGAGAAAGCCGTAGGCAGACATTTATGGGTGCTGGTTAGGGTGAGGTTTCAGCCCGAGACTTGTGTGTGCACTTGTGCAGGCCATCCTTGCCCTGTGCATCCTCACCTGTTAAATTGGACATGAAACACTTCCTTGGCAGGGCTGTGGTGAAGAGGGACTGCAATCACAGGGGAAAGGAGCCTGGCACTGGCAATTTCTTCACTTCCTCCCTCTTATAGGAGGACACATCTGCCTCCCCCACCAGCCCCTGAGCTCTCTGAGTTACATGGGTCCACAGAGCAGATGTCTGTAAATTTATTTTCTGTTAACATAGATAGAATCCTTAGCAAGTGCCAGACACTCTGCTGAGCTCTTTACCCAGAGGAACACAATCCTCACAATCTCTCCAAAAGTATTATTATTAGTATTATTATTATTAGTGCCCTCCCTACTTTTGTAGATATGGAAAAGCGCTCAGAGGGTGCAGATAACTTGCCCAAGGTCACATAACAGAGCTGGGGTTGGAACCCAGGCGAACTGGCTGCAAAATCTGGCTCTTAATCATTCCACTCTGAGCACTCATTATAAACAGTTGAATGACTGTTTTTGAACCTGACAGGTAGATGGATCCATGGGGCTGGGTAGTGGAGAGAGAAAGAGAAGGAGTAAGGTTGTGGAACTAAAGGCCATGATGGTAGACACCTGGAAGAATTGCATCCACTCGCTGTGGCAGTAGGGGAAGGAGCCTTCCAGGGCACTGGGCAGCTGACTGGGGTCCACATGGTGGCTGAGGGCCTTCAATGAGGTCAGGACCTCTACCTGCAGATGAAAAAAAGTGAGTCAGATGGACCAGGAGACTCACTGTGAGGACATGTTTGAGAAGGTCCTGCCCAGACCCTGCTCCAGCACCATCTACCTCCCACAGGTAAGGCTGGCTTGAAGAGTTATTTTCTTGCCAAACATGTACTCTAGAAACCGATTTGATTGACAAATCCAAATTCAGAACCAGACCCTCGGTAAAAAGTGGCAAATAAACAGCACTCATACAGCCATTCTCCTAGCTTGTGCCCAAGGCAGACATCATTAATCAATCATAGTACTTGCTCCCTCTGTGTTGGGTTCTTTCTCTCCAGGCATTTACACAAATAGATTGAAGCTCTTGTCATGTAACCTCTTTGCAGTCCTTATTCCCTGGTAGCCTACACAGGTGCTGTCTCCTTTTTGGGGCTGATGAAAACGGTCACTCAATCCTAACAGTGTCCCCTAGGACATGGAGGAGGGATAGGTGAGTGCTTCTCCCAGGCAGTGATGTTTGAGATTTATGCAAGGTACAGCTACAAGTACCTAAACTTGGAATTCGGCAGATTTTGTAGGTTTGGGGCCCTGTGTATGGATTTGATATCCGTGGGACTCCAAGTGCAGTCCATGCACCAGCATCACCTAAGAGCCTGTTGGAAATAGAGAATCCCGGGCCCCATCCTGAACAACTTAATCAGAATCTGTACTTTGATGAGATTCCCCAAGTGATCTGTGGGCACATAAAGCCTTGAAAAGCACATCTCTAGCTCATAATGTGCCTGTTTACTAACCAGGAGGAAGAAGGAGACCTTTAAAATCACTTCCTGAAGCCGGGCAGGGGGCAGGGTGTCCATGCGCATTACTGTGGTATATGGCACCAATTAACAGGGGCTGCAAGGCTCATTCTCGCACTGTCCCAAATCAACTCAGCCTCTGAGTGGGAGGTGCTGAGAGCAACTAGGGAGGGAAACGAAGGATATCAGGGCCGCAGGGTGGACAAGGCACCACTGCCTCTCACTTGCTGTGTGGCCTTGGGTCTCCATTTCCTCATCTGAAAGGGAAGGGATTAGGAGCTCACTGGATGAAATTTTTCAAGTAGTTCCATGCCATGTGCCACTCTTAATCTCCTGGTCGGAGTGGCTAGGGTGGCCGGAGAGAAATCATTCTGTGACTGACGTGGAATGTCTGCCTTGGGAGCAGCCTGGAGAGCTGTAGCATCCAGGCCTTGGATGCTAGATGGCTAGATGGTTTCAGGGCCTCTCCTAGCTCATGAATTCTGCAAATCCTCATTCCAGCTCAGGGCAGGCCCAATAATTCCTCTCTGCCCCTGCTTACACTGCCTCCCCCTCACCTGGATGGCAGGTAAATTCTCCAGCTGGAGAGCAGCCTCCTTCTCCCCCAGGAAAAGCAAGGCACAGATGGAAGCTGGCTTCAGAGCCTGTTGGAGAGAATATGTCAGTGTTGCTCTGCCCAAGCCTCCATGGGGCCTCCCCGCTAAGATGCAGGCAAATGGCCATGGGGGCGGGGGGCTGAGGGTGGGACCTTTGGTATATTTGGAGGGTGAGTCATTGGAAGTCAAGAAAGCAGGAGTGTCAAGCTGTGTTGCAAACTTCCTAGATGCCCCGGCCCCTCTGGGCCTCAGTTTCCCTGTCTGTATCATGAGATCAGACCATGAGGTCAACATATGCCAAACTTCCACTTATTCTGCCACCCAGAACAGCTGGTTAGGAGCCTTTCCCCTGCCCCACTCCTGCCTCAGGAGGTCTGTGTGACTGAAGTCTGAGCCCATCAATGGGTAGCTTCTCCCCTCCAACCCTCCCTCTCTAAAAAAAAGGCCTGATGAATAGAACCTAAGCCATTTGGGGTTGAGGAGACACAAAGAAATTTTTGCTGGAATCACTGGGAAAAGAATCTCACATTTTCCTACTGGACTTAAATGAAAGACCATGTGAAGGCAGAGCAGCTGGGAGCCAGGCTGCCACTGAGAATGGGTGGAGGATCCAGCTGAGAACGACAGTCTTCTAGGAGAACAGGGTCAGAAATGGAGAGAGAGGGCCCCCTCAGTGGCAGAGCGGTTGAGTGCTGGTTTGCGAAGCGGCCCGCAGCCTCTTCAGTGCCGGTTTGATCCCCGGCCGCCGGGTGAGGGGTCCCACATGGCGCGCAGACCTCTCCTGCCGCCCGCTGCTCCCCTCAGCAGTGTACTTCGGTCCTTCTGCCTGCTCTGCTCCCTGCTCTGGCTCTGGTGAATTCTCTCACCCTCCCGCACTTCTGGGTGTACCCAGTGCTTGTATAAATAAATAAATAAATCTTTAAAAAAAAAAAAGAAAGAAATGGCAAGAGAAGAACCAGGTCTAGGTGACAATCTTTGAGCCCCTGTATCAAATCACACTTGAAATTGGATTTAAACTAGTCTGTGGGGTCACATGAACTAATGAACAACCTTTGGGTTGGGTTTTCTATCAGCTACAACAAAGAGCCCTGCCTGGTTCCAGCTCCCAGACTCAGGGACTGTCAGAGGCCCCTCATGGATCCCAAGACTGGCTAGCCCAAGGCTGTCCACCTCCCACTTACCTGTGTGGCCTGAAGGGCACTGAGCAGACTAGGCTTCGGGGGTTGCTTCCTGGCATCAATCACAACTGCCAGCCCCTTGGTTTTATCTTCAGACCTGTGGGTGGTAAGCAGATTTGGCAGTCTTGCTGGATGGACAGGGGGAGGATCTAGTGAAAGATGAGAAAACTGGCTGCTAGAAACCTTATTTATTGGTGAACTCTTTACTGAAAGATCAAGTTCTAATGCTCTTTCTTCCAGGAAGCCCTCCATGGTTCTTTTCCAGGGAGAGTCCTTTGCTCCCTTTTCAGAGTTCCCACAGAACTTCTCATAGCCCTCTTTTATACCCTAATAACCATAAACTATAAGCCACTATCCCAGCTGCAGCGGGCAAGTCACCCAGCATTCAGCCATTCCTTTTACATGGGCATAGCACTCACTTCGCGTAAGAATCAATTCCCTGCAAATAAACATGTCCATCCATACTGGTTTCTGGTTCGTTGAGGCCAGGAATAGTGATCCAATTCTCCCAGCCAATAATTGGTCTAGATTAGGACCATGTGACATTTCTGGCCAACGAGATGGAAGGGGAAGTTTGCTGGAGGGGACTATTGGAAAACTTGATAAAGTTTTCACAGAGAGATAAAAGGCAGAGACACAGAATGATGAATTTCCTTATCTGATGAGACCTTTTGAATTGGAACTTGTTACTTGCAGCCAAAATACCCTCACTAGTTCACACTGTATTTTTCAGTGATTATCTCAGGATTTCCAAAAATCCACCCATTGTCAGCACTTGTTAAAACACTGATTCCTTCTAGAAAACTTAAATAAGGGATCAGGAAAATGAATAACTATAAGAAAGTGAAAATCAAAATCAACAAAAAACTATGAACCAGAGACACTTTTTGGGGGGTGGGGGCCGGGAGGGGAGGGATTGGGGTCAGAATGGGGCATGTGCAATTGTATGGGGGAATATAAAAATAAAATTTATTATTTAAAAAAAAAAAGAAAAGGAAATAAAAGGATCTTAATCAAAAATAAATAAATAAATAAATAAACAAACAAACAAACAAACAAACAAATAAATAAATAAATAAAACACTGATTCCTCACCCCACCCCCACCTTATTTCCAGACATCTGGGCAGCAGGTACCTGGTGGGGCCAGGAGGTCTGTGTGGGCCCAAGTGCCCATGGCCATTCTGGTGATGAGGCAGGTTGGGAAGAGAACCCCCAACCACCTTTAAGCCTTAAAACCAGCCAGTTCATGGGCAGCATGGGGTCAAGCCATGGCACTACCATCATATCAGGTCAAGTTAACTTGCCCAGTTATCTGGGCAAGTTATCATCTTGCAGGGAGTTCCCACCTCTACAGGAGGATAATAATGACGTCAAACCCCTAGGGCTGTGGTGAGGCCGGAAGAATTCGCTGCTATAAAGCGCTCAGTGACTGTGCAGAGGAGGAGGAATGTAAATGTCTACTATTATTACTATCCTCCAAAGGGAAACTGAGGCACAGAACTGTGGCATGGCAGGCAGTGAGAGGAGGCTCTTGGAGGTGAAGCAGATCTCTGACTTCAAGTCCTGAGCCTCACCTGTCTCTGGGTATGTCCGTGCTGGGAGAACAGTTTGCTTGCACGCCTCTCGACCACTTGCCCTCGAGGGCAGCACTATATGTGAGGGGCATCTGGGTCCCTGATGGCTGGTGTGAGGCTGGCCCCAAAGTAGGTGCCCAGCAATGTTGGTTCAAAGCAGGAGTGGGAAAGCAAGTCCGGCACACAAGAACTTGTGCACCACACTCTACAGTTTACACTGTACCTCATCTTCCCCTTCTGTGACCACACTTAGCCATCCCCTTTTTCAGGTGAGCCTCAGAGAGGGGAGGTGACTGCCCCAAGGTCACACAGCAAATTGGTAGGATTCTGGGGTTATTTCCTTCCCCGCACAGCTACCCAGCCTTGTACAACAGGAAGAAAAACCTAAGTGACCAGAAGGTGGCAGTGAAGGCTCCCATGGGGGAGGGCAAACCACAGAGAAGGTTCCCAAAAGGTTCCACTAGTCCCTCCACCCGACTCCATCCAGGCACCAAAACCTCTAGATTGGGGGTCTATCTCCACAACCACAGTCCTGAGCAAACACCGTCTCTAAGATCCCGCTGACTCGGGGCTGGGACTCAGGAGAAAGGAGGGTGCCTCTTTCCAGCCATTCCAAGATGGAGTCTAAAGGGTAGCGGCAGTGGACAATGTTATTAGAAGTCAATCTGGGTCAATGGTCCCTCACTTACTCATTCTTTTATTCTCTCATTCATTTACACTTTCCTTCATTAGTTCAACAAATAATTATTATTCAGATTTCAGCTCAATGATCACCTCTTCAGAGAAGCTTTCCCTGATTTTCCCAATTGTAAGTAGCCTGCCAACCCCCACCCTAACCCCACCTTCTTACTGTGACAGTGATTCTCAAAATGTGGCCCCCGGCCCACTTATGTCTGAATCAACAGAAAATTTGTTAGAAATTCATTCTTCTTTTTAAAATTTGTATTATGTTTTATTGATGTAATATTGGTTTATAACACTGTACTGATTTAGGGGAGTAGGTTCAGCCTTTCCCCAGCACCTGGCTGGGGACTGGCTCTGGGATCAGACAACACGGTGGAAGGGTATGATGTCTCCCCACTGGGTACCTGCTCTTGGGCTTGGGGATGAGGGCAGAGGAGGGATGGAGTGGCCAGGCTGGTGCAGCTCCTTACCTGGGGATGGTGCACAGGTAGGAGAGCAACTTGGTGACCTCTGGGGGAGTGCACCAGGGTGCCTCCCAGGCCTCTTCCTTGGTCGACACCAGAAGCAGGGGCCGCCCAGTCCTGTCCTGACAGCCTGGAGGAGAGACGACAGACACCGTAAGAACTTTGAAGCCCTCCCTGGGAGCCTGCTCCAAGGCCTTCAGGCCTTTGACCACCCTGGTCCCTATTTCTGGAAGGCCCTTTCCTCGCCCTGTGACTCTGAGCTCCTAACCACCCTTCAAGACACAGGTCACGAACCCCTCCTCAGAAAAGTCATCCCTGAGCACCTCTTCCATGCAGTGGTACTGCACCCTCTCCTGAGCTCCCCCTGAATAGGACACCTGGGAGGCAAAGCTGTGGAGTGAGCTTTGGGGTCACACAGCTAGGAGTTCAAGCCCCAGCTCTGCACTGACTTGCTGTTTGCCATTAGCCAGGTCAAAGTTTCTCTGAAATTCAGTTTCCTCACCTATTAAAAAGAATAATAAGATACTGAACTTGGAAGGTTATTTCAAGGACTGAGACAGTGCCTGACAAGCTCTTAACATGCAGTAGGCACCACATACAGCAGTTGTTGTTAAGATCATGGCAGCCATCCTCATCGCCCGTCGAGGGGTGAGTACGGAGCCCCAGTTGCCAGCATGCTGTTTATCTTGCAGGGGTTCCCCATAGGTTATTCCTTGCCCCAGGAACCAGGGCTGTGTGTCCTACTCTCCCCACTTGGATCAAGAGTCCAAGGCCCAGGGAGTGGGCACCGCCAGGATGCACTGGAGGAAAAAGGGGGGTAATGGGGGATGGTGTGAGATGGGGGGCTGTCCTGTACCCTGCTTCCCAGTCATCTCATTAAGGGCAACCCTGTAGTGACACCCACTCTGCATAGGCACAACTCCTTTATAGCTCATGAAGCCTTGGACAAACTGAGCCACCTTCACAAGAGCTGCCTGACACAGGAGTGCACCATCTGGAACATTCTTTCACATGTTTGAAAAGTTGACAATTGAAAATTATAAAATATCTACATTTGTATATATATTTAAATTTATAATATACACATCCTATAATTCCTTCTGTATATGTATACATGTGTAATGTGGAATATATCTGTATTTATAATTTGGAATTTATAAATTCTAAAAGAAAAAACATTGTTGGGATAATATGGGAAATCTGAATATGAACTGGGTATTGAATAGTATCCAGAATTATTTCCAGGGTTGTTAGGTGTGCTAGCAGTGTTGTGGTTATGAAAGGAAATCTCCTTTTTTGTTAAGAGATGCTTCCTGAAATATTTAAGAGTGAAATATGGAGATCCATAATTTACTTTAAAATACCTCAGGGAAAAAAAGTTGAAACGTGTAAAAATGTTGTGATTTGTTAAACCTGGGTATTACGTATATGGGCATTTACTATTCCAGCCTCTACTTTTTATATGTCTGAAATTTTTCTCTACTTTTCATAGTAGGCATCATTCTACAGCACTGAGCTTTATATGACTTCCTCCAGGAAGTCTTCCCTGACCTCTCCCCTACATCAAACCTGGGTCAGGAGCTTTATCTGTTCTTCCCAGCTCCCGTACAGTTCCATGATCAACCAGTTGAATTTTTATCATCACTTGAATCTAGGCTTCCTGAGTAAAGAGAACACACCAGACTTGTTCCCTGCTGAATTCTAGGGCTAAATCCAAGGCCTGGCCCATAGATTCTCTGAGGAATTGCCACTAGCTAGACTGAATTACAGGCTCAGCCCATATCCCCATCCCAGTATCAGCCTGCAGTTGATTCACAGACTAGATAAGCAAAGGGGCCTGGTCTCTGCTCCTGAAGATGGAACCAGGCCTGGTTCCATCCGCCTCCCCTGTCTTGCCTCCCTCACACACCTTTTCCCTAGAACAACTTTCCATAAATCACTTTCCCAAGAACCCTGGTTACCAGTTGCTTCTAGAGAACCTGACCTAAGTCACCTCACCTAAAGTACAATGGGTGGATACCTAGAAACCATTTTCATATAATCCAGCTCCTTCATTGGAAAGATGGGGAACCTGAGTCCCAGGGAGGCTTGGCCCAGAACATGGTCCTCCAGGATTTTCCAATCTTCCCCACACTCAGCATCATCTAAGGATGCTCAGGGACACCCCCACCCTTCCCCATAGCTCCTTGCCCTCCACCTCACCCTGCCCCATAACCCCTGAGCACCTGGGAGGCATGCTATCCTGGAGTGCAAGAGCTCTGTACTCAGAGCCCCAATCCCGGGCTCAGGGCCTGAGGGTTCCTCATCCAGAGTAGGGCTGCTTTCTGGAGGGCTGGCAGAAGCTTCTGGGAAATCAGCCGCCCCCCTGGTCAGTGGGTCTGAGTCAGCAGCCAGGCCAGATGTTTTGGTCTGAGTTGTTCCAGCTGGGGAAAAGCAACAACAAAGAAAATGGTGTTAAGCGGAAGCCAGATTTTCCCAAGGGAAATGTCTTCTCTTTCGCCTTATGATGAATAAAAGAGCTTACAGCTACTGACCCATCTGCTATGTGGCAGGCATGGTGCTAAGCTCTTGCCTCTGGTGTCTCTTAGAACTTAAAAACAAGTCTAGTTGGGATTCCCATTGCACAGAGAAAGGCCTGGACTTGAGAGGGTAAGTCCTTGATGAAGGTCGTCCAGCTAGTGCGCGGCAAAGCTGGGATGTGGACTGGGGCTGTCTGCTCCATTCGAGACCCATGAGACTCCAAACCTCTTGAAATGCCACCGTGGGTGCTAAATCCCTGAGACTGAGCCAGTCCAGGTGAGTCTCTGTCCCTGACTACCAGGGCCACCTCGCAGCCCGATCACGTCTCCAGAGCATCCCCTTGTCCAGCAGAGCCGGGGTCACCTTACCTTTCCCCGGGCGCTTGGCTCGATTGGCTTTGGATGAATAGAGTGAACACAAGACTTTCCAGGGCCGGTCATGCTGGACGGAGGGTCTCTCTGGGGACTCGGGGGCTTGTCTCTGCCCTCTCAAGAATGAGAATTTGAGCACAGGAGTGGGGGGTCTGGAAGAAGTGACTTGACTGGGGCCAGTCATGGGTTTAGAAAGTTTACTGTTTCCTTCGTCGGTCCTCTCCTCCGTCGTGGCTTCAGGAGCAACAGGAGGAGAAGCTGGACCCAGGCTGGGGGAGGATTTGTGCTTTGGTCCAGGCCTGAGCTGAATCATATTCTCTGGGCTTCCCAGCGGTACCTGCATTTTAGAGTCAGCTGGCTCTTCTGAGACACTTGTCTCAAGGACACTGAGGTAGGGCTCTTGGAGCTGAAGTTCTGAGTCATGGCTGGGAGCTTTATGGCTGACCTTTCGCCTCGAGCCTAAGGGCTCCTCCTCTGAGCTGGCTGCTTTCCAACAAGACCTTTTTTCCATGGAAGGCTTCCCAGGGGTCCCTGAGGGAGGCAGCATCCTCTGAGAGAAAGGGATCTCCTTAGTTCCAGGCATCTCCTTCAGAGGCCCCATAGTACATGCACTGGATGTCTCCACCTCCCCACTGGGAAACCTCCCTCTGCTCTCTTGGGACAAGTCCAGGAGAGCCACATATTCTCCTTCCAAGTCCTGGCTGACCACACCATCCACCCTGAAATCCACCTCCCCAGGCTTGGCTTGTTCCACCTTGATGAGTCCCGGGTACTTGTTCCCATAAGTCCTGCTTCTACCTTTGGTCAAACTGTGAGCAAGAAGCTCCTGGCTGCCCGAGGGCCTGCCCTGCTGCAGCTCTTGAGAGCTGCTCAAATCAAGAGCCTCTAATTGAAGGGACCCCCAGGCTGGGGAGTGGAAATTCAGTGCTTGGGGCCTGTCACCCACAAACTCTGGATTGGTTATCTTCGTCCAGGGCACAGGGACAACCCCATCTTCGGAAGCTACCAGGCAGTTGTGGAGGGGACTTCCCTTAAAGTCACTGTTGATGGCCTCCAGCCACGCTTGGGTGAAAAGCAAAGGGTAAGATGATGCAGGAACAGGTTTTGTGTCCACTGTGCGAAGGTCCAAGGAGAGACATTTGACCATGATACAGACAGACTGTTCCTCTTGGGGTTCAACTTGGAGGTAGAAGTCTCCCTGGCGCAATAAGAGGGGATTGAGGGGTGCCAGGTGGACCACGACCTCATCCCGCAGACAGAGTGGCCAGCCCTCGTGCAGGAAGAGGCAGTGTGAGTAGGGAGCCTGCAGAGAGAAGGAAAGGATATCAGAAAATTGGCTCTGAAAGCTCCACTGGTGGATCTGCTTCCTACCCTCTCCCAGGTGGAGTCTTGAACATGTTGGAGACTAGGGTAAGGTGAGAGGGGTGCCTGACATGTGGCATTTAAGGATCCCTGCCTGCTCTAGGGATTCTTACCCACTCACACAGTTCTAAGAATGACCACCTCCTCAAATGGTACATCTTCTGTACTTCACTAGTCCTGACCCTGACCTTGAAGGCACACGCCAGACTTCTGGCTCAAGGGAGAAAATCTCTGAGACCCAGGCAGTAGTCAGCACGTGGCTTGTCCACCAGCATCATTGTGCTGATTCATGTTCTCTTCTCCCCATCTATCCAAAACTTCTCTCAACCCAGCTCGGGCCTTAGCTCTCTACTTTCAAGTCCAAAATACATGGGTTCCGAGGTCTGAATTGCTAATTTGTGCAAATTACTTAAAATTGATGTTGTGAGACTCAATTTCCCTATCTGCAGAGAAGAATATCACGTATCAGCATTAATGGACTGGTATGAGGATTAAGTGAGAGAAACCTAACACAATGCCTGGCATATAAGAGCTAATATTCAATAAATATTAATTCCATCTCCTTTGACATTTACCCTTTAAAAAACTGTGAGGATTTCCAATTAAAAAATAGAAAGGTCATTTTCCACTTTTATTCTATTCTTTAATTCTGCAGTAGAGAGCTTACAGAGCGAAACATTGCTGAGTAAGAAGTTGGGAAATCTGCCCCTGCCTCTAGCTTGCTGGGTGACCTTTAAAACTGATTGCACTATCCTGGTTCTGAATGTTTACCATTTGTTTGTTTATTTATTTGCTTGTGTTTATTTCCCATTAGTGGCAAAATCACAGGTGAGGCAAAACTTCAAAAAATATATATATATACATATATATATATATATTTTTTTTTTCCAGCAGGGAAGGATGTTGGCAATTCTCTGTGGAGGTAGACACAGCACGTCATCCTGGAGTGGGCCTGCATGTGGGTGAAATTCTTCCAGGAGCCTCTCCACGAGGCAGTGCAGGCACAGCGTTCAACAGCGACACCATGCGGCAACAAGGGGAGTAACAACTCTGCCAGTCTGACAACAGGTCTTTCTCTAGCCAGCTTTTGGAAAAGAATTCGATTCCTACAGTTAAGTCCGGGATAAATTTATACCATTTGTATGAATATGTGAGAGGCCTCCAGAAAGTGATACTGAACGTCCTGCTAATTAATCAGGTGTTTCCTGAGATTATTAATTGGGGGAATAATGATATCTGACCATACTTGTACCTACACAGTTGATAAACCAGCTCACATCAGTTGCACTGCAGATCTGCCTGCCTTGAGAAACCGCACGGCTGTCCACCCACCTGTCTGTGAGTTACTCCTCCCCTTTCACGTAGCCCTCTGCTGTTCACAACATGCTTCCCTCCCCCTTCTCATTGAACAACACAAAATAGCCCAGCAGTAATGTGCAAACTGCAAAGTGCCACGAACGTGAGAGTTGTAGTCATCTCATTTGACTCTTACAGTAACTCAGTGGTGGAGGCAGCGCGGATATTATTGTGAGGCTCGGAGAGGTGCAGTTATTGGCTCAGAGTCACATGGCTGATAAGTGGCAAACGCAGGACCTGTGCCTAGACCTGCACAACTGCAGTCGACTGCTGTGTCCCCAGGCCCCACCAGACCTCATTTGAGGGTGCCTCTAGGCACCGGTGGTAGCAAAGGCAGATGTTGTGACTGGCGCATTCTAATGTCAGAGGAAAGAGGAAATGGGATAGTGATGCCAGCAGCTACCAAGCACCTACTGGAGGCCAGACTTGGTGCCCAGCTGTGTGCATCCTCTCCACGAGGTAGGTCTGTGTTACTGCTGTTCCCTTCTGAAAGCTGACGCTCAGAGCTATGGTATGGATCCCCCACAGTCTGAATGATGGGGCTTAAGAACCTGACTACTGAGGCCACAAGCTTACCCAACTCCCAACCCTGCCCTGAGATGACACAAATTTATCTACAGTTATAATTCAAGTTGCCTATAATTTAAATTTTTTTAATTAAAAAAGAAATTGAAAAATGTTGTGACCTTTGTCCCTGGAAGAAATGGGGAAGGGGATAGTGCAAATGCAGTTGTTATGGCCAAATAAATAGAGTGGGTGGTTGTCTAGTTTGTCAGGGAGAAGAAACAAGGACAGGGAAGGATGTTCGTGAAATAGCGTCCATGCAGACCTGGGGCTGGCGGCGGCAGAGGCTTGGGTGAGAGCCTTGCTTCTCCTGTCACCACCATCAGTGGCCATGGAGCTCTCCTGTGTGCCAGGCACTGAGCTAAGTGTGCTTAATGATGATTTCAGCTTCCTTCCAGTCCCAAACATCTCGAATTCTGGTTCCGAAGCCTGAACTTTTAGCTGCCACATCCGGTTCCTCTTTCTCACTGAAATGACACACACGGCCCCCACCCTTACTGTTTGCTCCTACACACCATGTTCGGGAACAGGCAGGAGCAACTTGGGAAAGGCTGGAGGGGCCTATGAAACTCTTGATCATTTTTGAGGCTGGTGCCACAGAGAGCTGGGCATTTGAGCAGAGCAGGGCACGGTTGGCAGACATAAGAAGGGCGTGGTCAATTTCCTGCTGTGGGCATCTGAGGGTTTGGTCTCCTCAGGCTTCTCCTACCCTTTTTTCAAAAACAGTCTTCAGGGCCTCCCCGGTGGCGCAGCGGGTTGAGCACAGTGCTGTGAAGCTGTCCACAGCCTCTGCAACACGGATTCGATTCCTGGCTGGCCAAGGAGATTCCCACATGGCGCGGCAGACCTCTCCTATTGCATCTGCTGCTCCCCTCAGCAGTGCTTTCAGTCCGTCTGCCTGTTCTGCTCCCCACTCTGTTCCTGGTGAATCCTCTCACCCTCCCATGCCTCTGGCCTGTACCCCAGCTATTGTATATAAAAAAAAAAATCTCAAAAACAGTCTTTACTTTCTTTCCATACAGGTATGCACAGAGCTTGAGCCTGGCTGACCCTGCTACCCCATTCCACTGACCACAGTGATTGGCCTAGGGATGGACAGAGGACCCAGTATGTCTAGACAGGGTCCTGCCTTGTGGTTTTTATTTACTTATTTATTTATTTGTTTGTTTGTTTGCTTATACAAGCACTGGGCACAGTCAGAAGCGCAGGAGGGTGAGAGAATTCACCAGAGCCAGAGGGGAGAGCAAAACAGGCAGAAGGACCGAAGTACACTGCTGAGGGGAGCAGCGGGTGGCAGGAGAGGCCTGCGCGCCATGTGGGACCCTCACCTTGGCGGTCAGGAATTGAACTGGTGCCACAGAGGCTGCGGGCAGCCTTGCAACCCAGTGCTCAACCGCTGCGCCACCGGGGAGGCCCACCTTGTGGTTTTTAAATGACTGCTGAAGAGGAAGGTGCATTTTCCTCTCCAGGCTAGGACCTGATCCCAGCGCTGCCATGGGCTCCAGCCTTGCTGGGACACCCTAGCCTGTCAGAGTGCTGCTGGCAGGCAAGAAAAAGCAGAAACAAGGGACAGAAAGGGTCCTCAAGGGATGTGATCGGTGGGTCACCTTGGGGTTGAGGCCTGACTGCCCTGCTCTGGTCTGAATAAGGATTCGTTCTTTGCAGTCAATGAGTTCTGCCTAAAATATTTTTCCTTCCACTCTGCCTCGCAAAGGGCATTCCTGAGATCTGTGTTTGAAGGGGTCTTCAGAGAGGAAAGTGAGAGTCTGGATGCCTCAAGGGTTCCGGGGAAGGTCTGGGACATTCTCTGCTATGGTATAAAAGCTGCCCCTACTTCAGAAAAAGCAGCCTGGAGACAACCACAATGTCAGTCCCAGGGTAGGCTGGGGGGTGGGGGTGAGTAGGGGACCCTCAAGCCTCCCTCCCTTCCTGCCAGTGAAAATGCAAACTTGATTGACTCTTAGCTTTCAGAGGGTCAAAGGTCAGGTGACCTTCTGGCTTCATTTAAAGGCTGAAAGCTCCCTTTGGGCAAGCAATGGAAAATCATCCCATGTCCTTAGTTCTTGCTTTGAGGCAAGACAGCACCAGCCCACTTCCTTCTCTGTTCAATTCCAGCCCCTCAGCCTTCTGGGAGAGCTTGTCCCCTGGCCCCATGTCCTTCCAACTTACACAGGCTGCTTCACGCACTTGCTCACACAGGCGCTTGGCAGGGATCAGGAAATCCAGGAGGAAGCTCAACCCATCCCCATGGAAGTCAGAATCCAGGAGACGGAACACCTGAGCCAGGACGGTGGGTGCCGTGGCCTCAAAAGGGGGATAGAGGCCTGCCAGGGCATGTTGGATGGCTGTGTCCAGGGGTGGGGGGTCCTGTAAAGGAAGGGAGAGAGGGTAAAACCTGATAGTAACAGTAATAATAATAAGAGCAGTGGCCTCTTCCGAGACCTTCCAAGCCCCATATGACTAAGGCCTCCATGACTCTCCAACCTCCTTTCCTATTCTCTGTTCCTTCCTTTCTTCCCTCCCCAGGCATATGAACCTGAATACCGAGGCACAATTCTACCTCAGGGTTTTGCGATGACTGTTCCTTCTACCTAGAATACTCTTCCTCAACAAAACCTCATCCCCTCACCTCCTGCAGGGCTTTGATAAATGGCATCTGCTGATGCATGGTAGAGTGTAGGAATAAGGAAGCCATTCACGCTAGAGCCACAGGGACAGGGGAGCTTGGCATCCCCAAATTCCACCTCTTAGCTGACCTGCAAACCTGTGAGTTGAAGCTGAGTGAAGACCACCTCCGTCAGAGAACCTCAGGCAACATGCAGGTTCCTGAGTGTTTTCCCACTGTATTGGGGTGGTTTCCCACCCTCAGCCATGGACAATTCACCAACCTCTATTCCCCCACTTCTGCCCTGGCCCAGGCCTCTATCCCACCTTTTCCCTTGAGTCACTCCTCCCTGGTTTCTAATCACTAATCTTTTCATTTCCAGCCATTCTCCATCAGGACCCTAGAGTGACTGTCCTCAAAAGCAAACCTGGCCTGTCAGTCTCCTGCTCAGAACGCCCCACTGCCTTCAGAAGCAGCTGGCCTCCGGGAGTTCAGAGCCCTGTGATCCAGCCTCTGAGCACCTCCCCAGCCTCCCTCCCGCCCCACCACCCCTTGCGCTTCTTCCACCAGACACATGCTTGAGACTCATGCTCTCTCTCGTCACCGCCAGGCCTTCACATAGGCGGTTCCTTCCCCTGGGAAGGCCTCTCCACCTGGCTGACTCCTCATCCTTCAAGATTCAGCTCAGTCTCTTGTTTCTCCCAGGACATTCTCACTGCCTGCCTACCCCTCCCCCAGCTAGGCCAGGTGTCACCTTCTCCAGACCCCAGTGGCGCCCTTTCACAGCAGCTCCCACACTGACTGCTGTCTCCCTCAGTGGACTCCCTGAGGATGAGTGGTTAGCACAATAATGGCCCCCCAAATGCCCCTTCCTAATCTCTGGAGCCTATGAACATGTTACCTACATGATAAAGAGGACTTCAAGCTGCAGACAGCCTTGAGATTGCTCACTAGCTGCCCTTAAAATAGGAAGATGACCCTGAATTACCCAGGGGCCCAAGGTGGAAGCCAGGCTTCCTCCAAAGTACAAGAGCAGGCAGAAGAGGCTGAAGTGAGAGGGAATGGGAATGTGGAAGAAGGATGGAGAGGCGTGATATCACAGACTAAAAATAGACAAAGAGCCAAGGACTGTGGGTGGTTCTTAGAAGGTGGAAAAGTGAATGGATCCTCCCGCATGTCTCCGGGACAGAAAGCAGCCACCACCCTGGTGGGAGTCCAGCGAGCCCCGGGTGGGACTTCTGATCCACATAACCGTGAGATGATACATCTTGCTGCTGTAAACAACTAAACCTGTGATCACTTGTTCCAGGAACAGACATAAACCCTGCAGTGCAGGTGCCTATTCTGGTAAGGCCCTCAGTCCTGGCATAGGGCCTGGTACAAAATAGGTGTTCAGTAAATCTCGTGCAAGAGTAGACACCATGCCCCTCTCCAAGCCACAGTTTTTCCGTCTGTAAAAGCCCCAACCAGGCACAGTATTAGAATGCTTGGGCAATGATTTTCAACTCTTCAAAAGCCTAATGGAAGCCATCTGGCTGTCCCAGGTTGGTCACAAGTTCTAGGTCCATCGATCACTGAGGGATATAAAGGAAGGTGAGAATAAATAAGGATTCAACAGAAAGAGCTTATTCAGGACAGAGAAATCATTTTTATAAATGAGGCCAAGCAGAGCCCAGTGCCAGGAGGCTATGAAACAGAGGACGCTAGCCTGAAGCATTAGACAAATGTCAGTGTCACAGCACCCCCAGGGGCACAGGGTGGGCCCCCTGTGGAAAGAATGCCAACTGCAGCCTCCTTCCTGAAGGAAAGTCTCAGCACTGTCTTTGGGGTGAGCTCATGGGGGATGGTTTATGGCATGCACTTGGGGTCCAAAGTGTACAGGCCCAGGAGGGCCTGTGGGGTCTGGTGAGAGGAGGGAGTCCTTCAATTTGGCAGAACAGGCAAAGGTTCATCTGGTGTAGTAATGCCCACTCCCCCCAAACAAAGCCAGCCCCTAATAGTTCACACACACACACACACACACAAACACACACACCTCAGGAAAGCAGTGGGAACAGAAACAGGGGACCGCAGACATCTGTAAACAACCAAACACACCAAGTCAAACAGGCCAGCACCTCTTTCTTGCCACATGCGTCCCCCTCTCTGCCCCACTCTGCCTCGGAGGGCTGGGCCTCCTGGCTCCTGCTTCACTGTGCTACCTGGCAGGGATGGCTTCCCTCTCTGAGCCTCCTTCCTCATGTGCCTGTGAGGTTGGACTGGTATTTTTTCATTTTCTTTTTGGAAATTTTATCATTCACTGTCATCCTCAAGAATTTTAGCACATTCGAAGTGCCATTTGTGCAATTAGCACTTACTGCTGTTCTTCAAAGCCACTCACTTTAAAAAAAAATGTATCTAATTGCATTTGAAACGGAGGCCTTACATCACCTGGCTGCTTATCAGAATGCAGTTAGCCTGGGTCCAAATTCGGGTGATGCCACTTACTGACACCTATCTCTCTGTGCCTCAGTTTCCTCATTGGTAAAACTGAGGTTGTTGCCTGACCTGCCTTAAAAAGTTGAATGAGACTGAATGAGCTTCTTGCACAGACATTCTCTGTACAGGCCTGACTCCCAGAATCAGCAGTCACCGCTGCTATTTCTGTGGTCGTGTTCAGGCGGCTGCTGTGTCACCAGTGTAAATGCAAAGTGTGTATCAACCGGCACACACAAAATGTAGCTCCAAAAATAAACCAATGGCTTTTATATTATTTATATAAACAATATGCATGTTTATTAAATATATTTATTATTATAATGGCCATAGTGGATAGCTTACATAAGTATATTTTACATAAGTAATATACCTCTAACTGTATCATAAATATATATAAGACAGAATATTTTATTTGTATAGTTCTACTTCTCTTTTAAAAAACTAGTTTTTAAAAGAAAGGGTAAACAATGAGAATCAGTTACTCCCTAAAACCTCAAGAGGTCTTTCTCTCTTTCTTCCAAAATGAGATGCTTTAGAAAGGTGTTGAGGACATCTCGTCCCCAGAAGGAGGCTTTCTCCCTGGGTCCTCGGAAGATCCCGACTCTACTGCCTGATTCTGTGTTATTTAGTTTCGGTTTGTGACATACTGTCCCAACTGTGCATGCCAGTGGCTGGTAAACAGTGGGCTAACCCATCTCTTCCTTGATGTGCCTCAGTTTCCCCAACTGTAAGCAGGGATTCTAGTTCTGATCCCATCTGACTCAGAGGATTACTCTTAAGATACATGGAGATGACAGGTGGAGGGGATCTTGGGGGCAGAAATCAAAAAGTGTTACTGCCACTGTTAACTCTAATTAGTTGCTTTTTGTCTTTACTCATCCTCTGAGATAAAGCTCAAGTCCTAGCCTCTGTGTGAAGACATCTCCCCTGCCGCAGTCCTTTCCTACTACCTACTACCATCACCCCAAAGAGAGCAGCAGATTCCAGACACCTACTGTGCACTGGGCCCTCCATTCATTTTCTTGCTTAGCCTCATGAGGATTCGGGGGTGGGTGTGGGGTGTGTGTGGCTAGGACATCCCACTTTGCAGATCAAGACACCAAGGCTGATCTTGCCCAAGATCACAGTGAGGAGAAAGATTGAGTGGGGATTCACCCCAGGTCTGAAGCAGCCAGGCCTGCCCCCAGCCCCTGGGGCCTTGTCTGCCTTGGGACCCGCAGCAGCCACAGGTTTCAGGGTGGCCTCCCCAGCTGCTGTCCTGCGCTGTTTCAAGTGGGGCCTAAAGAAGTTGTTTACCTCTCACAGACAGAGGCTTGCAGACTAGGATGCCTTTGGCTTTAGCAAATTGGCTCAGCTGGCCGCACACTGTAACCATTTAAGGGGAACCAGTAAAAAAGAAGAATGTTCCAAGTGAATGAGACTTGGCGTTCTTGGCCAGAGCATTACCTGCTACAGGCTTGAACCCCAGGGACCCATAAACTGTCCAAATATTGGGGGAAGCACATGCTGAAGGGGTCCAGGCTGCTGCAGGAAGGAAAGCTGGCCACTCTCCACTCCAAATCAACAAGGCAGCCTAGCCTGGGACCACAGGAACCCAAACACAGTTGGCCAGACATGGGCCCCTCAAAATGATTTCCGTGAAACTTAATCGACATGTTTCCATTCCTTCCCAATGAGTACAGCCTGGCTGGACCTTTAACTGTTCCTCGACAAGAACTGAGGCAAGAGAAGCTGAAGTGGAAGAAGGTGAGATAAGCTAGATCCCTCTGCGGTACCCCCAACCCCTCAGGCCCTCTGCCTGCAGCTCAGGGCCACAGACAGAGCCCATCAGGAGGACTGGCAGGCCCCGTCTGCAGGGCTGGCTCACATGTGATATTCTGGAAACTTCTACACAAAAAGACACAGAAAAATATCTGTTCCCAGGGGCTGCATCTGGGCAGGGTAGGAGGGTATACTTCTGTCTGGATATCTTTGCAATAAGCCTCTATTATTGTTGTAATCTTAAGTATTACTTTATACAGTAAAATAAAGTAATATAAAATGCACAGGTTGATGCACTGACCCATGCGCACACCTCTGTAACACTGACTCATATCAATACACACCATTTCCACCACCCCAAAAGTGGCCCCCCAGACAACTCCCCCATTCTACTGGTAACTACTCTTTCACTGCAATTTCTTTTAAAGAAAACTGCCTGTAATTCCTGTGTAAAAATGTGTATAAGCCAAGAGGCCGAGAAATAAAGTGTTAACTGCAGTCACCTTGAGGGCTGTGAGGGGCT